AGTGCATCTCTTACACCTTTTTACCTTATATAGGGGGAGGAAAAGTGATAGAATGAGAATTTTTAAAAGTTTTTTTTTTCTTTAAACTTGGTTATGAGGTTTCCTGTTTATTGGTGTAAACAGTTTGTTCAGACAAAAAGCATTGCATCTTGCAAATTAAATTTCACAGTTCTTAATTATTTAATAATGGCAGAACCAACAGCATTTCCAAAAATAAACGTTTGATCCTGGTGGTCTTATTGACCTTAACATGGCTTGCTAAAATGTAAGAATGCTCCTGTCTGAATATTGCTAACGTTTTCTGCCTTGAAAGGAGTACAGAGAGGGCCAGGTGATGTAAAATGATGCAGAAGTATCCGAATCTATAGGTTTACATGTTTGTCTTGCAGCTTAGTGTTTCTCACATCTCTTAGTGTGATTCAATTTCTTTATCAAGAGAGCAGAGGTACATCATGGAGCTATTGGGACTATCAATTAATACATGTAAAGCAGTTCAGTTCAGTAGCTAGGTGCGATGAGATTCAGTGGCAAAGTCTGAGAGAAAACAAAATGGCAGTGGGAGTTCAGCGTCAGTGCTGAGATGGGCCATAATGTATAAAAATTGAAGTGCTTTGCCTTTGTTTCATCACAGGCTCAGTGGAGAAGCTGTGGCATTTCTAGGTTTACCCTGGAACAAAGCCTGTAACGCTGTGCTATGGGTACTGTGTCAAGTACAAATTGGCAGAGGCAGAATCCAGTGTTCCTGTGGTGGGTCGCAGAATTTCTTCTTGTATAGATTTCTTTCCCATTTTTAGCTTTGGCCTTGAAAACAAGGTCCCCAGGCATGTTTCTGTTGACTTTAGATCCATGTTAGATGTAGTAAAACTGAATGGTTACTATGAGACCAGCACAGTGCATAGTCCTTTATAGTAATTTAAGAAGCACTGGAGGTTATTTTTTTATTGGAGGGATATTTTTCTTCTTTTAAAGTCAAGAAAATAAAGCCTTCCCCAAACCACTAATATTTTACTGTAGTTTTCTGGAAACAACTTACTATTCATTTCAAACAAAATGGGTATATATTGTAAATTGTTGGCCATTTTAAAACAGCGAGTTGAAAGATATGTATTTTAATTTCAAATGTCATGTGAGCTCCTGGTATTTTTTAAATTTATTTATTTTTTTATTAATTACAGTTTATTCACTTTGTATCCCAGCTTTAGCACCCTCCCTTGTCCCCTCCCAACCCCACCTGCCCCCTCATTTCCTCACATGCCCCTCCCCTAGACCACTGATAGGGGAGTTGCTCCTCCCCTTCCCTCTGAACCTACGTCATATTAGGACTGGCTGCATTGTCTTCCTTTGTGGCCTTGTATGGCTGCTCCCTCCTTGGAGGGAGGTGATCAAAGAGCCAGCCACTGAGTTCATGTCACAGCCACTCCTTGTTCCCATTACTAGGGAACCCACTTGGACACTGAGCTGCCGTGGACTACATCTGTGCAGGGGTTCTAGGTTATCTCTGTGCATGGTCCTTGGTTCAGTATCAGTCTCAGAAAAGACCCCTGTGCTCAGAATTTTTGGTTCTGTTGCTTTCCTTGTGGAGGTCCTGTCCCTTCCAGGTCTTTCTATCTCCTTTTTTCATAAGATTTCTTGCACTCTGCCCAAAGTTTGGCTACTGTCTCAGCATCTGCTTTGATATCCTGCTGGGTATAGTCTTTTAGAGGCCCTCTGGGGTAGGCTCCTGTCCTGTTCCCTGGTTTCTCCCTCTTCCATGTCTGTCCCATTTGTCTTTCTGAATAAGGATTGATCATCTTACACAGGTTCCTCCTTCTTGCTTAGCTTCTTTAGGTGTACAGATTTTAGTATGTTTATCTATATTATATTGATAGTCACTTCTAAGTGAGTATATACCATGTGTGTCTTTCTGCTTCTGGGATGCCTCATTCAGGATGATCTTTTTTAGTTCCCACCATTTGCCTGCAAATTTCATGATTCCTTGTTTTTAATTGCTGAGTAGTATTCCCATTGTGTAAATGTACCATAATTTCAGTATCCATTCCTTGGTGGAGGGGCGTCTGGGTTGTTTCCACATTGTGGCTATTACAAATAAAGCTTCTACGAACATGGTTGAGCAAATGTCCTTGTGGTATATTGAACATATTTTGGATATATGCCTAGGAGTGGTATAGCTGCATTTTGAGGTAGCACTTTTCCTAATTGAGAAAGTGCCAGATTGATTTCCAAAGTGGTAGTATAAGTTTACATTCCCACCTGCAACGGAGGAGGGTTCCCCTTTCTCAACATCCTCTCCAGCATGTGTTGTCACTTGAATTTTTGATCTTAGCCATTCTGATGGGTGTAAGGTGAAATCTCAGGGTCATTTTGATTTACATTTCCCTGATGACTAAGGACGCTGAACATTTCTTTAAGTGTTTTTCTGCCATTCAATATTCTTCTATTGAGAATTGGCTGTTTAGCTCTGTACCCCATTTTTTAATTTGATTAATTGATTTGTTGCTTTTTAACTTCATGAGTTCTTTATATATTCTAGATATTAGCCCTGTGTCTGGTATAGGGTTGGTGAAGATCCTTTCCCAGTCTGTAGGCTGTCGTTTTGTTCTGATGACAGGGTTCTTTGCTTTACAGTTTCATGAGGACCCTTTTATTGATTGTTGATCTTAGAGCCTGCCTGTGCTGTTGGTGTTCTATTCAAGAAGTTGTGTCCTTTGCCAATGAGTTCTAGGCTCTTCCCCAGTTTTTCTTCTAATAGATTTAGTGTATCTGGTTTTATGTTGAGGTCTTTGATCCACTTGGATTTTAGTTTTGTGCAGGGTAATAAATATGAATCTATTTGCATTTTTCTACATGTAGACACCTAGTTAGACCAGCACAATTTGTTGAAGATGCTGTCTTTTTTGCATTGTATGGTTTTGGTTTCTTTGTCAAAAATCAAGTATCCTTAGGGGTGTGGGTTTATTTCTGGATCTTCTATTCGATTCCATTGATCCACCATTCTATTTCTATGCCAGTACCATGCAGGTTTTTATTACTATTGCTCTGTAGTACAGCTTGAGATCAGGGATGGAGATACCTCCATACAATTTCCTGTTGTACATGATTGTTTTAGCTATTCTGGGTTTTTTGTTTTTACACATGAAATTGAGAATTGTTCTTTCAAGGTCTGTAAAGACTTGATGGGAATTGCATTGAATCTGTAGCTTGGTTTTGGCAAGATGGCCATTTTCACTATGTTAATCCTACTGATCCATGAATATGGGAGATCTTTCCATCTTCTGATATCTTCTTCAGTTTCTTTCTTCAGAGACTTGAGGTTTTTTCAAACAGGTCTTTCACTTGCTTGGTTAGAGTTACATCAAGTTCTTTATGTTATTAGTGCCTATTGTGAAGGGTGTAGGTTCCCTTTTGTCTTTCATATACTGGAGGGCTACTGATTTTTTTTTTTTTTTGAGTTAAATTTGTATCTAGCCACTTTGCTGAAGGTGTTTATCAGCTGAAGGAGTTCTCTCGTTGAATTTTTGGGGTCACTCATGTATCTATCATATTATCTGCAAATAGTGATACTTTGACTTCTTCCTTTCTGATTCATTTTCCCTTGATCTCCTTTAGTTG